AACTGTCGACCGGAAGAGCAAGGGATCTGCGTAATTAGTTTAGAAAAAAGGAAACTCAGGTACCAGATTTTGCTCCCACCTCGGGTTATCCCTCATGATCTCGGAGACGTTTTCGCCATTTCCTTTCAGGTTCCTCGACTAATTTCCGGCGAAACGCTTCCACCGCCGATGGATTTCCATTCTTCGGCCCTAAAGTTACCATCATATCCAGAGTTGACAGATAGATTTCGTATCCGGGCATTAAGATTCGGACGAGAACGATGCCTGAAGAAGCTAAGAACATACGGAAGGAGAGGAGCTCTATTCATGGCGTTTCACTGACTTTTGTCTCAAATCGATTCTCTGATTCGCAACTCCAAATAACTCGAGAACTCAAACTCGCATTGAAACCGTACGCAGAACCTAGGACGAAGATTAGCTGGTGATCCAAGAGTAAATTAGATTACTTTACAGGAACCCTAGTTTGATCCCCAATTTCTCCAGTAATCCGATCCGATGAGATGTAGGTAGGGCTTTTTGTTAACACAGTAAAAAAAGGTTTGGAGAAAGAGGAAAGAGAGGGGCTTCATTAAATGGAGTTGGAGCCCATGTCCTTTGAGAACAAAAAAAAAACATTAATTTAATAAATAACAATTTATTACATCAAATCTATAATTTGGTCAAATCGGTGGATAAATAAGAAGGGTATGCCCTCTCTCTCTCCTCTCCCGTCTCTCTGCTCTGAGTTTCTCTCTGTCGTGTTCGCTGAAATCCCTAATTATTCTTCAATTTCCCGCCAAAAAGAATGGGGAAGGTCGAAAATTGAAGCCCTGGAGTGGGTCCAATCGGCGAAGAGTTGGGTCGCAAGCTATCTCGCAATCGCCGTCAAGTTAAGGGAGGGTTTGGATTTGGGTTTGCTTCGTGCTTCGCTCTGATTCGGTGGTTTCGGTCGCTTCGACGGAAGATGGAGAGGTGATCTTCGAAGAGACTGTAGCTGATTTGTGCGTGGATTGTGTTTTTTCTTTCCTTCTGGCGGAGATGATTTCTATTCCGGTGCTTGATTCGTTTGGTGTTTGTCTTGTTCGATGCAAATCCTCGATGGCTTTGATCTAGCTGCAGTTCGCTGCGTGTTTGATCCGCTTTCTTCTTCATTGCTTCGCTTGGGCGTTTTCTTTTGTTCATTCACTTTCTTTCTGTTTGGCGTCCTGCAAACAAAAGAAGAGCAAATGATTGGAGATCTACACTTAGGGAAAAACATTTTCTGCCAAAATCTCTAGTGTTTATCAGTATGAGCGTTGTATGTTATATCTGCTTTGGGTGAATTCTTTCGTGTAGCTCGAACGTTTATTATCTGTGCTCATTTTGGCAATTTCTGTACTTCAAGCGGCAAATCCCTAGTTCATGTGTTGTCTAGGCTCATGAGACTCGTGCATAGCTGTAGTGAATGTTCAGTTCAGGTTTTAGAGTCAATTAGCATTGTGTCGATTCCAATGTCCCCGAGTAGTTTATAACTATTTATATTTGTTATTGTTTCCTACTTTGGATCGATGCAGTGCAGATACTGAGCCTGCAAGTCTGAATTGTGGGAACAGCATGGTTGTGAAAGCATACCCATTAGGCATGGTACGGGTTATGAACAATAACAATGGGATAGGTGAAGAAGAAGGGGACTCGGGAGTTGAACCATACGTGGGTCTAGAATTCGACTCTGCTGACGAGGCAAGGGAGTTCTACAATTCTTATGCTACGCGTACGGGTTTCAAGGTTAGGACAGGTCAGCTGTATAGGTCAAGGACAGATGGAACAGTGTCATCGAGAAGGTTTGTCTGCTCAAAGGAGGGTTTTCAGCTGAATTCTAGGACTGGATGTTCTGCCTTCATCAGGGTACGGAGGTGTGATACTGGAAAATGGGTTCTTGACCAAATCCAGAAGGAGCACAATCATGAGCTCGGAGGTCAAGTTGAGGAGACTCCTCGGCTCCCGGTGGTAAGTAAGAGACATCCAGCTCCTATAAAGTTAGCGTTATCAGTTCCACATAGACCCAAGATGAAAGTTATCGATGAGTCTGATAAAGCACGGTCATGCCCATCTGGTGTAATTTCTTTCAAACGCTTCAAAGGGGCAGGAGATGGTGGTGATGTGCAAACACAGCCCAATGCCGCTGAACCATACACAGGCTTGGAGTTCAGTTCGGCTAATGAAGCATGCCAGTATTATCAGGCGTATGCTGAAGTTGTGGGTTTTAGGGTTCGGATTGGTCAATTGTTCCGTTCAAAAGCCGATGGATCAATCACGTCTAGACGATTTGTGTGCTCAAAAGAAGGATTTCAGCATCCTTCAAGAATGGGCTGTGGAGCTTTCATGAGGATCAAAAGGCAGGACTCTGAAGGTTGGATAGTGGATCGTCTCAATAAAGATCATAACCACGAGCTTGAACCAGGAAAGAAGAATGTGGGTATGAAAAGGATAACAGAGGACGTAACAGGAGGATTAGATTCTGTGGATCTTATTGAATTAAATGTCTTCAGCAACCACATCAAGAAAACCCGAGAAAACATGATTGGCAAGGAATGGTATTCAGTTCTTCTAGAGTATTTTCAAACCAGACAGACTGAGGACATGGGATTCTTCTATGCTCTTGAACTAGATAGCAGTGGCAGCTGTATGAGCATTTTCTGGGCAGACAGCCGAGCGAGGTTTGCCTGCAGTCAGTTTGGCGATGCTGTCGTTTTCGATACTTCATACAGGAAAGGAAACTACTCTGTCCCGTTTGCTACATTTGTCGGGTTTAATCACCACAGGCAACCCGTGCTTCTTGGGTGTGCCCTTATTTCTGACATATCGAAGGAGACTTTCACCTGGTTATTTCAGACATGGCTTCATGCCATGTCAAGTCGCCGTCCAAAGTCCATTGTAGCTGATCAAGACTTGGCTATCCAGCAAGCTGTGGCTCAAGTCTTCCCTGGGACCCATCACCGATACTCAGTCTGGCAAATCAAAGCCAATGAACGAGAAAATTTGAGGCCTTTCCCTAATGAATTCAAGTATGAGTACGATAAGTGTATATACCAGACGCAGACAACAGTTGAGTTTGACACAATTTGGAATGCTCTCGTCAACAAATATGGCCTGCGAGACAATATGTGGCTCAGAGAAATGTATGAAAAGCGTGATAATTGGGTTCCAGCTTATCTAAGGGGCACTTTCTTCGGCGGAATCCCAGTAAATGGCAATGTGGAACCGTTCTTTGGCACTTCTTTGAATTCTCTAACACCTCTCAGGGAGTTCATCTCGCGATACGAGCAAGGGCTTGAGCAACGGCGGGAGGAGGAAAGGAAAGAGGATTTCAATTCGTATAACCTGCAGCCATTTCTGCAGACAAAAGAACCCGTGGAAGAACAATGCAGAAGGCTGTACACGCTCACCATCTTCAGGATTTTCCAGAACGAGCTTGTCCAATCATATAACTATCTCGGGTTGAAAACCTATGAGGAAGGATCCATCAGCAGGTTCCTGGTGAAAAAATGCGGGAACGAGAATGAGAAGCATGCAGTGACCTTCAGTGGGTTGAATATCAACACGAGTTGCAGTTGTCAGATGTTCGAATATGAGGGACTGCTCTGCAGGCATATCTTGAAGGTGTTCAATCTCTTAGACATACGAGAACTGCCTTCTCAGTATATACTACACCGCTGGACCAAGAATGCGGAGTTTGGTTTTGTAAGAGACGTGGAATCGGGTGTGAGTTCTCAGGATCTCAAGACATTGATGGTATGGAGCCTGAGAGAGGCTGCAACAAAGTACATAGAGTTCGGCACATCGTCTCTGGACAAGTACAAGCTTGCGTATGAAATCATGCGCGAGGGAGGGAAGAAACTGTGTTGGCAGAGATGAACAACTGGCTGGAATTTAGTAAAAGTAAGATCATCTTGATTATCTCTTAAAAATCCAATCTTTGTCGCTAGGTTCAACATTTCTGGCGTTGTGGATCGTATCCTGATCTGGGTTCTGTCGTATTTTTCCAAAAAAAAAAATGACATTTCGGGCCAAAGAAATGGAGTTATCCGAATCTAGTTTTCCCGTTATTAGGAAGCATCAAATGAAATTTTCTGGAATTAGGTGAGGTTTGTTGCTGTAAACCCTAATTTGCTGTTCTCCTGATGTTTGATCTTTACAGATTGAGATGAGGGTTTTTCTTCAGATTTTAACAGTAGGATTTGCATCAGCTCCTGAAGAAGATGAAGTCTTGGTTTGTGAATGAAGATGATGAGATCCTAAACCCTTTTGTCAACTTCTGCTGCTGCAAAAAGAAGGCGGCGGCCATGGATGCGCTTCTTCCTTGGGTAATGCATCCCTTGGCTTAACGAAGATGACATGTTTGTTCTCTCTGTCGGAAAGTTCATGTTCATGATTCTAGAATCATTAGGATGTAATGTAATATCAGAGCTTAGAGAATCTTTAGTTAGATCATCATCATCATCATCATCGTCATGTATCATTCCTGCAATCGCACAACACCGTATCCCCATCTGGTTCCAGAAGAGTTTTCTTCCTCGTAAACCACACCGTTCTCGTTCATCACCACGATACAGTCTGTATAATATTAGTGTGGCCTTGTCTATTTTCTTTGCACTTTCTCGGTATCCAAACACGAGTTTTCGGTAGAATCCGGTAAAAAAAGATTGAACTTTACCAATCGATCATATAAAAGCACAAATGTAAATTCCTAGATGACCGTAGCTCAACAATTATTTATCTAAGTTGATGCACCATTTTTAGAAGGTTCAGTCGGTCGGGATTTAAGAACAGAAAAAAAATATTATATTACTGACTATATAAATACATATTTCGATACGTTACGTGTATATTAAGGTTTGCACGTAAATGTGTTTGTATTAAACCGATATTCCATTACGTTTGTGCAATTAGGGTTTGTATTAAACCGATCTTGAGCTTCTTCTCGATCTCTTTTCGTTTCGTTTCGACCGAACGTCATCTTCTTCGCCACGATACCTATCTCCTCCGATCCCCCGATTTCCGGAGATTATCACTCTCAGTTCTGTTTTCTCTAAATCTCTGATTAGGTTTGCTTTTTCCCCCCAAAGCCTAATTTTTCCCTTAAATTCGAAACCCTGATTTCGTCTCTGAATCTGGAAAATCACGGCTTTCTTCTCCAATTCGGACGCTTGACACCTGCCCGTCGATCCTGTCCGGTAAAGAAGATTGCCCATCTTTTCAATTCCATCGAAGCTCGCGATCGAAGACCCCGTCTTGTTGATGGGCACAATTAGGGTTTACAGGGAGGTTCCCGGATCTTCGAAATCTTCAAGCCCGACGCTCACCGCCTCGACGTCTCGCACGGAAACCGTCAATGGCTCTCACGAATTCAAGATCAACGGCTACTCTCTCTTGAAAGGGATGGGCATAGGCAAATACGTCACCTCCGACTCGTTCGTGGTCGGCGGTTACTCGTGGGCCATCTACTTCTACCCTGACGGGAAGAGCCCGGAGGACAACGCTGCGTATATTTCTATGTTTATCGCGCTCGCGAGCGAAGGCGCGGATGTGAAGGCACTGTTCGAGCTCACGCTCGTGGATCAAAGCGGTAATGAGAGGCACAAGGTGCATAGCCATTTCGGCAGAGCTCTCGAGAGCGGACCTTATACTCTCAAGTATCGTGGAAGTATGTGGTATGTCCAGTTCTCCTTTAGTTACCGCTTTCAATTGTAGCCGAGTGAGTAGTATAATTCCCTTTTGCTTTATCTTGTGCTGTTTTATGTCTATGCTTACATCGGAAATGATTCAACATTTGTACTGAGAGCATTGGAAACCTAATACTCTAATGCTATGGATTGGTTTCCGATGGATTTCTGTTTCTTGTTTCACGATTAAGCTAGTTGAGTCTGTTATCTCCGACATGTCTCTGTGATATGGTTGCAACCTCTTCTCGTGGCATGGCTAATGATGTTCCGGGGCATGTTTCAGGGGATACAAGCGTTTTTTCAAGAGGAACCTTTTAGATGCATCAGACTATGTCAAAGACGATTGTATGTTGGTACGGTGCTGTGTTGGTGTGGTGAAGTCACGCACAGAAGGACCGATGAGTTACACTATCCGTGTGCCGCCATCTGACTTGGGTCAGCACTTAGGCAAGCTTCTGGAAAGCGGGATGGGAGCAGATGTAACATTTGAAGTTGGTGGAGAAACATTTTCTGCTCACAAGTTGGTTTTTGCAGCCCGCTCCCCTGTTTTCAGGGCACAGCTCTTTGGTCCATTGAAAGACCGAAACACCCAATGCATAAAAATAGACGACATGGAAGCCCCCATTTTCAAGGTTCTAACTTTATTTCTCTATCCATCGTTTTCTCTCTGGGATAAAACTAATTTCCGCTGGAATACTTAAGTAGAACTTTAAGTTTGTGGCTTTATCATATCGGGCTGTTATTTAAAGTCCCAGGTCTTTTGAGGTCTTCTAGGAATAGATAGCTTTGTTGGTTACGTGCCTTTTTCTTGGGTGAGTGATTGTGGTGTCATACAGGATTTTCTATTCATGAAAGTTCCATCCGGGATCTTCTCCTGGGGCGCTGTTCCTGTTCACAAATTTTACTCTTCCGGGATAAGGTTCTATCTTTCTGCTTCTCTTCCTGATTCCATGAATGTGTATTTGGCTGATGATCTGAAAGTCTGTTGTTTGATTGATCAACCTCTTTGCCCGAGTCATCGTGCTGCGATGTATCCATTTTCCTGTGATGTAACACAATGGAGGCAGTTTCCGTAGGTGGTTGCGTTGTTAAATTCGTTTTCATATAATTTTTAGTAGAAGCAGCTATATTATCTATATTTCAGTGAGCAAATTTGATCTTTAGGATCTTGGAGAGATTGAGCTGGTAGTTTTAGTGTTTGAATCCCTTGGCATACTTTACTCCATGTTCCAAATGATGCATAAGTCTTTCTTCGTTTTAAGACTCGGGTCTGTTTGTTAAGATTTGGATAATACAAGTTGCTTACTGGGCAATTCATTTGTGTTGTTTTTTTTTTGCAGGTGTTGCTCCATTTCATCTACTGGGATGAGTTGCCTGATATGGAAAAGATAATGGGCACAGATGCATTATGGGCTACCACTCTTGTGGCTCAGCATTTACTCGCAGCTGCAGACCGTTATGCTCTTGACCGGCTCCGAGCAATATGCGAGACCAAACTCCGTGAAGGGCTCTCCATAAACTCTGTCACAACGACTTTGGCGCTCGCAGAGCAGCATCATTGTTTACAGCTGAAAGCGGTGTGTCTCAAATTCATCTCAGCACCCCAACACCTTAAGGGTAAATATATTTCTTTCCAATTGGATCTGATTCTTGTATTCTACACCCATCTGCATATCTTTGAATCTGAAAAAAAGTTGCATAATATCCTGTTGTTTTTAGCAGCCGTGATGCAGACAGAGGGTTTTGAATATCTGAAGGAAAGCTGCCCGACTTTACTAACCGAGCTACTGGAGCACGTGGCGAGGCTGGGGGAGCATCGAATGGCAGCATCCGTGTATCCGAAGGAGGAGGTGTTGGTCGATGGCTGTGATGCGAATGGAAGACGGGTAAAACAGCGGCTGCGTTGATCGATTCCCAGGCTATTTTCTCTGCAGAAACATGGGATATATGGTGACTGGGGAACAAAACAGAGAAGAGAGAGATTGTAGGGCAGAAGATTTGTGCTTTTGTCTTGTGAAAAGATGGAACTTTGTAAGCGTAATGGTCTTTTTTGAGTGGTTTTTTTTTTATTGCGTTGTCTCGTCTCATGTGTAGTGATTTCGTTGTTAGACCTTTTTCAAGAGAAAAATCTCGAAAGTCGAATTATATTTGGAATTCTTAATAACAGTAAACTTCCACGGTCTTTGCATTTCTGCAGAACGAAAGAAGCTATTGCGAACAAATACAGGACAGGATCGATGGAAACTAGTTTAATTGTCTTTTTAACCAGTTCTCTTCATCATCTTCTTGCTCTTTTGTCGAGTCTCATCCCAACCGCTGAAACAATCGAAGGGGGCTTTCGATTTTTGCCCTCGGACGTGAAGTGAAGCTTTAGCAGAGACATTCTTGGACCAGAAAGGAACAAACTTTAAGCCAGCTGAGGATGAGAACGGCCTCAATACCAGTTGTTCACAGGGCCACCTTGCGCGGCTGCAGCCACTTTACGTGCAACATACTGTGGCTTTGGCTGCAACCTGTTTGACCCTTCGGGACATTCATCCTCTCCTCTGTCATTTTTGCATGGCTGAGTCCTTTTCGGGTAGGAACAGTTTGATGCCGGGTTTCTGACCATCCTACTACGCTGCTGCTCAATAGCTTCAGTGCCTGCTGCTGCTATGCCGCAGTTGTTGTAGCGTAATACTGATCCAACGACTTTCCCGGGCCTAGCTGCTCCTGCTGTGTGCATTCACAAGCATTGGTTCAGATACAGACAAAGGTACTCAGAACATTTTATCTTCTAATATCATTTCTTAACAGTTTCTGAGCAGAAATGTATTTGTAACACATTGATAATTCAAGTCATCACCGAAAAACTTGCATGTTAACAGTTTTGTCTGAAACTATATATTGCGATAAAGAGACCCTTATCTATGTTGCTAACAACACCAATATGGTACACAGAATGCCAGGTCATCCTGTTACGACTCAATTTTTCCATAGTTGACACTCTTGGTATTTCATCCCGTCCTGTTACACGGTGCAGAATCCCGTTGCAATTCACACTTCTTTCATCCCGTCCCATTAGGTGAACCAAATTCATTGATCCTCCTAAGATACTAAAGGTTGGGTTTTGATTCGATCTTGGATCGAGCCTATTTGCAACAAGAACAAGGGAAAGACGGAAAGAGAAGAACAAACCACCTTGGTTCGCCTGAGGAACGTGGATAGGAACCCTCCTGTCTACATGCGGCCTCTCTATTTCTCTTATGCGGCACTTGGAAAGGCTGTCGGTAACTTCAGCGGAATTCTGCACCGCGTGATTGTTATCAGAGTACAAAACACATGCCCTGCATTCGCAAAAAAAAAAAAAAAAAGTGTCACCAAAATCATATAAAAGCTCTTAACTTGATAGCTTATACCCAGCATGATCATAACCTTGGTAATGATGTGTGCTGCCTCTCGGGTGGAGCACCCGAAGTTCCGTTCTTGTAGTGCTCCTCGAGGAAAGCAAACTGTTTCTTGAAATGATCCACGGCACTGCAGATCGTACATACGATGTTTAAAGCATCATAAACCGAATCACAAGCCTTAAGAGTATGAGCAGGACAGTACCTTGGGTACATAAAGCCCGTCGGCTCTGATCCTTCCAAGTACTCTTTCAGCATCTTGGGATGGTACTCAAGAATCTCTCTGTACACGAGCTCACGCACGTCTTCTTTCGTGATCCTCCGCCTCTCAAACTCGAATTCCATTTTTGTGACAGGTTGAGCAGAGGGTTCTCTTTCGACTTTGGCCAAACCCTTGAAGTACGGATCAGCAAGTGCCTGCGAAAAAACCAAAAAAGAAGAAAAGGGTTTCGACGAGATAGAACCGAAAATGTTATATGATAATTAGAATAGTAAATAAATGTGTGAAGCACCTCCTCTGCTGTGGGTCGGTCCTTGGGTTCAAATGCCAACATTCTTTCCAGAAGACGAAGAGCGAGGGGATCAGCATTCGGGAACTTATGTGAAAAAGGAACAGATTTCTTCTTCCTCATGCTGCTCAGATATCTACGAGCTTTCTCATTGCGTACCTAAAAATCATTCAGAAAGAAGAACAGAAAAGAATGTAGTCAGTTTGTATTAAATGAAGTGGGAAAAAGAGGGAAAAACTACATTATGATAAACACTGACCCTTCCAATGGCTTCTGCAGATGGAGTTCCTAACAGATCAGTCATCAGATCCAACTGATGGACTACATTTTTACCTGGGAAAAGAGGTTTCCCTGTCAAGAGTTCTGCAAAGATGCACCCGATGCTCCATATATCTATCGCCGGAGTGTACTGAAAAATAAATAAAAAGGAACAATTAAAATCGAACATTTTGTATGATGGACAATTGGGAGGAGAAAATTATAATTCATCTGTGTCCAAACTTATAATGTGTTTCTCTTTTCCTTGACAAATACATAGAAGGTAACAGAGACAAAACAAGGCATCATTTTCATGATGCAGCGGATGGCAACCAGAAGAGCTGAAAAAAAAATTAAGAAATGTAAACAAAATCATGAATACCTTGGAGAAAAATGACCCACATAGTTCCGGAGCCCGGTACCATCGAGTTGCTACATAGTCCTGCAGTCACAAAGCAATAGAACGAGTTGGAACTCGTCACCAGAAAAAGGAAACCTTTCGATAAATATTGTAAGAAATGGGCGTTTTTCCATTTTACATGAGAGATAAATTCAAGAAACTCACTGTCCAAAATATTGCAGTAGGTGTGTCGTTGAAAGCAACTCTCGCGAGCCCAAAATCACAGATCTTGAGTTTGCAGTCAGCATTTGCCAATATGTTTTTGGGTTTAAGATCCCGGTGAAAGACATTTGCTGAAGAAAATACCACCAAAAAAAGTAGTTTCAGAGAAATTTAAAAAATCTGCATGAATCAAGATATGAAAAAGGAAAAAAATACATGAGATTCTCTAAAGCCATAGTTGTAACATATACCTGTGTGTATATACTTGAGTCCTCGAAGAAGCTGGTATAGGAAGAACTGGTAATGCTCGGGGGTCAAATCATCGTTTGCCTTAATAACTTGGTGCAAATCAGACTCCATGAGCTCGAAAACCACGTAAATGTCCTTAAACTCCCTTCTGGAAGGCGGTAATAAGATGTGTTTGATCTCAACAATGTCTGGATGGCGGAGGATCCTGAGAAGTTTGATCTCTCGAAGTATGCGAGTTGAATCAGAGACATGCTCAAATATGTCATTGATTTTCTTGATCGCGACTTTCTCTCCGGTGTGTGTGTCATAGGCAGAGCAGACAACACCATAGCTTCCTTTACCTATCACTTCCTCTATTCTGTATCTGTTTCCCTCACCGTATTCTGTGAAGAAATCTACTTCGATAGATGACTGCCAAAAAAATGAAAGTGAAGTGATGTCAGTTGGAGAAAAAAATATTGAGATCATAATTAAACCGATCCCCGATTAAACATGATGAAAGATAACTTGCAGGTAAAGAGCTCTAGACTCGTTCTGACTAACTGATGATTCTAATCTTTTCCTAGAACAATGGCAATTTGCCCAAAACTTAGATTCAAATTTTTAAAAGGAAAACCTGAGTCGGTAAAGAGAAATCGCAGCTCGTAACTCGACCAGTCCATAGTCTGACATCAGAAAGGTAAATGGTGGATAAAAAGCAATAAGCTTTCACCTAGAGGTGACTGTTAGACTATTCCAGACCGGCTAAACTTCAACTTCAGATCGGCTAAAACAATTTATCTTGGTGTGGAGAGCTTACTCACCTGCAAACCTTGTGATGATTGTAAAGTGATGGACTTTACTATGAATTGGGTTATCTTACTTTTGCTAAACCTTGAATTCTATATCTCAAAGTAAAAACGTAAAAGGAAAAATCAATTGCAGGTGAAGAGCTATCCACATTCAAATATTTCATTTTCATCGATATCAATCTGCGTTTAATTAAATTCAAAATCCATGAGATATCAATGCCAACACAGCTAGTAGCTTTCATCTGAGGTCCAGACAAAAGTATGTGGTGTATAAGCTTAGCTAAGAACATGACAAGTGTTCATGTCCTCTCCTAATAGCAAAACGCCATAATACTTAATGCCTCAAACTCACACCACACAATAAACCAAGCTTTACAGGAAGAAGAAAAAGAGCCACAAAAGACTTGAGATATTCTTAAGGGCCACAAAAGTCAGACTGGATCAGTTTTCCCAACTACAAAGATTGAGACCAAACTAAAAGACAGCGACATTAAACAAGCACGGTTACAGATCCTAAATACCATAATGGATCTCAAAATTCCGCACAAATCTGAACGTAATTGAATGAGATTTCGATACAGGGAGAGGTAGACAACAAGCGAACCGACCTTTTTGCGCTGATCAAACTGCATCTTCAGCTACAGAGCATCCAAAAGCTGTTGAGAAACTAACGAATCCAATGTCACCCGGACTGGTAAGCTTCGATCCAGTGAGAAATCGAGATGAACGCCCAGAAATGCAAAGACCCAGATCGAGTATAAAGCAGAATCGGAGACTTTTTCCAACTCCAAGCAAACAAGATCGATCGATCAGAGCAGTGCTGGAATCAAAACCAGAGCTTTTCGAAAACCCTAGTTCCAAAAATACAGGGAATTACTGGACACAACGGAGATTGAAAAATAAGAATCGGAGCTGCTCTTCGGCCAGAAGCGATTATCTCACCGGGTGAAACCCGCGAATACCTAATCGAGATTTCGTCTCTTTGCGCTGATATCAGGGGTCAGAAGAGGGATGACTTCAGAAGCAAAAACCCAGAACGAGAAAATCCGAGGAAATCCTTTCTGGGTAACTTAGAAATGGACTTTTTTTTCTATTTATCTGGAAAAAAAAAGAGCTTTCCTTTGTCGGAGGATCGATATCTGTTTCTCCTCTGAACAGACCGATCAATAAAAAGAAGAGACAAATCGAAAAGAGCTAATGCTTCTGAACTCCGAAATCAAAATGCTAAACCTTTTTTTTCCTGAGCTTACAAGTTTCTTTTTGGATCTCTCGCACAAGAAAGAGAGAGAGAGAGAAGGGGAAAACGAATGAGAGCGCTTTCAAGTTGAAGCCTTTTGGAGAGAGAGAGAGAGTATATTATATAAAGTTACAAACTTTCAAGTGTAAAGAGCAATAAGATGGAGGAGGATTATTATCCCTGGTTTTTTTTAAAAAAATCCAATTTTATGTGTATGAACATTGAATTATTTATCTATTTCTGATAATTCTACAAAGAATTAATCAATTAATAACAAAATAATTATACTTACGCATAAAACTTCAAATATTAAACCTCTGTCTTTTGTAAAAATCCACAGTATTTTAGTCTGTCCGAAAATATATACAATATTTTATATTTTTCTCTATATTTGAGTTTTTCATGACAATCTACAAGATCTACGCGTTTTCGATTGAATATCATGAGATAATTTACTACAATAAATAGCATACTGCTATAAATAATATATTATCTTACAGATCATATTTAATTATTCCCAATCACTTGTTATAAACATTCTATAATTGATTGAGTAAACACGAAATTCTATTGGATGTTTTATTAATTTTTTTCGGTGATTATATTAAATCGGCATTCACATTCCTAATCCAAAACAACGTAAAGTCATAGTACATTGTTAATTTAAAAACAATATAAAAACTAAATAAACTAGATTAAACACACACACATATATTTATATATATGAATATTTTTTACATGAATATTTATGATTTAAATATTTTGGAAATTTTAAGAACGTTTTAATATCTTGTAATATCAAAATAAAAAAGATATATACGGAGAGATAGCAAATATATGTGTGTGTATATATTCTCTTCTTATAGTGCTTTCAATATTTTCTGTTTTGAATTAAATATATGCATGGATAATTGGATATATCATGTACGAGTGGATTTGTATAGTTTGCATATAACTCGACCATGTGCATGTGCTTAGTTTTGTTGTTGCTTGTCGTTGGATGCATCTCATTACACCACGTGGCGCATTTCCTGTCCGTCAGATCGTTGACGTCCCCATCTGATCTAATCTTATCTGTCTTACAACCGAATCTAAGTATTTACTGAAATACACTTTAATTATCTCGTAATTATTCAAACACCCTATTAGTTTTAGGCGACTAACATTTTTGCCCCATAAGTTAGAAATTTGTCAAAAAATATCTTTTCAGGGGTAACACCGATGGCATATAAAATATCAAAATCTATATTGAATTTCCCCGGTATATATTAAAAACAATAAAATTTCATATCAGATAAATAAAATCAAAATATGATGTTTTTTCTAATAACACTGACACATGAATATATTCTTACATATCCATACCATGTTATTGTTGTTTTTTTTTTAATTACGTTGATGATTATTTGACTCTAATTATCTTTATAATCATTACAAACTCAAAGCCCTTTGCAAAGGAGTATAAAGAAATACTAAAAGCCCTGTCCAGTCCATGTGCATCACATTATTTTCTTATGGGGAATCATATAATATAATAGTATTTTTTTTCTTACTATGTTTTTTCCATAGGAATAAAAAATGTTTATTAAGAGTCACTAATTACACATTACAAGAGGATATGCAAACTTTATATCTAGATTGGACCAACAAAAACATGCATTATTTTAAAATCTTTCATTATGGTCGCATGGAAGAAGCCATAGGCAAAGACTTTAGCCATTGTAATTTGTAATCCTCACACATGTTTAAAGCCTCTTTTGCCAAAACACTAAGGAAAAAAAATCATGTAAAACTATGGTTTTACAAATAGAGAATCGGAATCCGATCTCCGGCAGTTGCTGCGGCGGCCGGACGACAAACCAGGCTGACCAAGTTTAACCAGAATAAACCGGCCTTCGAAGAACTAAACCAAAAAAGCCCCACAATAATCAAATCAAAGAAGAGCGATGTTGAAACACTTGCGTCATCATCATAACATTGTATTCATCCATAACACATTAAGTTCTCAATTCATACCTTGCCGTTCATGGCTTCCGCGGCTATCTGCGCATGCTCTTCCCTCGCAAACCAGACGTATCCATATCCCAGAGATTGTCTTGTCCTATTCTTTATGATGATTTTCACTGCCATAGATAAATCTTTGGACATAAGGATGGTAGTTTTCTAGTCTCTCACAGTAGATAGAGTTAATTCCAGAAAACCATGGAATTACATCAAAATATGTTTGAAAACTGAACTCAGACCAGAATTCTATGGCTTTCGACTTCAACATTTGAATCCATTATAAAGTCCCTTCCTTTACTTTCGTCGCATCAACTACTGAGGGGGGATATCGTCTGCCCGAGCATGGACACAATCTGCTGTTTCTGCAACCTTTCACCACCCTAACTTATTGGACCATTCTCGATTTAACAATCAAACGAGGCTCACAGGTTCGTATTCAACCAGGAACTCCCTCCTTCAACTTAATCCTAGCAGTCTAGCAACTAAGTCATAACATAAGCACGATCTGCAACCCAGTCAAATATGATTCCTAGTGCAGATGAATCACGAATCCAACTCAAAGCTTTTTTTTGTTTGGTTGAAATCCAACTCAAAGCTGAAACTATGGTTCCAGAATTGAATACACAGACTGTGAGAGAAAGACTAACCATTGGTAACTTCTCCAAACTCCGAAAAAGCCTTTCTTAAGCGCCCTTCACTCACTGACTGCGCAAGCCCTGCGAACATTCAAACGTTTCCAAGTACTCAGAAAATTCAAAACCCTAGGTGGAAAAAACCTAATTAGCAGCAATCGGATAGCTAAAAGAAGTTCAACCAATCGGAGTACCTTTCACGAAGATCGAAGAGACCGAAGTAGAGGGAGAGGGAGACTCTGCGATTTCATCGGACGAATCCTCTCCGGAAACGCAACGGATTGTCCGGAGTGGGAAATTCGCCGGAGGAATCGACGAAATCAGAGAATACTCGGGGATTTCTGTTGTCAGAGAAACTAGAGTTCTGGGAATTGAAGATGTTCGGATGAGAGAGCGTTTGTGAAACGGGACAAGGAGAAACGATGAAGGAGTAACCAGAGACATCGCCATCGCCGACAAGCTCGTCGCCGGAATATCCTACCTTCACAAGCTTCTGATTCCATTCCTTCCCTCGCCGTTTACTTTGGGCCTGAGATTGTTGGGTCATTGCACACGATGGGCCCTGTATGGGCTCGATGGTGATGGGAAATTTTATTTTAATTTACAATTTTTTTAGAAAATAATTATTTTAATGAATTAATTAATATTATTTATTTAATTGCAGATTTTAATAATTTTCAATAATAATATTCGAATTAATAAAAGGGAACAGATATTTTTATAAAATAAAAATTTTAAATCCCAAAATAATAAAGCTAAAGTCAAAGAAAAAATCGAAATGTCACCTTAATCAGTAATATTTGGTGTCGATTGAGTCAAATATTTATTTTGGCAAATATTGGAATAAATTGATATAAAAAAATTCAAAAATAAATCATAGGGAGAATTAAATATTCACCGATCAGTGGGGTCTTATTCTGAAAGGCGCGTTATGTTATGGCGATCCAACTCACTTTCATTTAAAGTCCCTTTCTTTTACATATATATAATATATATACACACACTTATATTACACTACCTTATTTTTTTTATATAATTTTTCAACCTATAAATTCAAGTTTTTGTGATACAAATATAACCAAATAATAGGTTATTTAATCCTATTTAAATCGAATTCAATTTTTAAAAATAATATTGTAATTGAGTTATACTAAAAAAACATGATAAATATATTATTTCGTCATTCATAACCCATTACCTATTTTTCTCGAAAAAAAAGATTATTTATTGTTCTATTTTTGTGAATTTATTACAAAAAGAGCCGCGGCGGTGAGACATGAAGTTGACACGGCACGTGACGCCACACTGTGTCAATCAAATCACCATCGTACACCCGGCGGATTTAATAGGTCTGAAATGACGTAACTACCCTCCGACGCGACTCCCAGGCCTCGTGTCGTCCACGTGTCGGTGTTCTATTATTTAGCGGCACCACCGGCTCGGGGTCGTGGTAATTTCGGCGATCCTTGGGGGTATAACCGTCAATGCACAATATTGTCTTGTCTTCTCCCTTTTTGTGAGCTTTTTTTTTTTGCACCGCACCCTGGGATTTTAAGAATTTTTTCATTGAGATTGAATCTTGGACGAGCCCTAATGATATTTTTTCTCTTATTAAAAGAAAAACAACGGCATCTGAATCGTCTTCTTCGAGTCTGAGACGCTCTTTTTGCTGGTGTTTTTTTTAGCGGACGAGAAAATTTTCCGACATTGAGTATTAAAGAGTAGTAAGTACTTTACAATTTCATTATCTTATTCTGTTTTGTTAGAATTTTTTTTATGTTTTATGGAGAAAATCGAAACTTATCTCGAAATTCGCCTTGTCGTCAATTCGACGTCCTCTTATAGTCATCATCTTCTTCTTCGATTCTCCAGATTTTCTCGGCTAAGTTTTTTTTCTGGGTTTTTTTCCTAAGATGCCGGAGAAAGGAGGGGTTCTGTCTCCGGCGACGAGCCAAGTGACGATTCTCCGACCGAGCCCTCTGCATCAATGGCGTTTCGGTGCTCTCACAGCTCTTGTCTTCTTCCTCATGGTGGTCGTATGGAGCATCGATGGCTGCACCATCAAAGGCTTCATCGAGCCATGGAGATGGAATTCGTATTCGATGAGAGTCGACGCTTCTTCCTCTTCGAACGTCACTAAGAATCATCATCTTCAAGATCCCACCTTTAACACGACCCATCACCAAAATCTCACTTCTGACACAGCCCATTCGCGAAAACCGGAACCGGGCACGACCCGACAACAGAATCTCCCTTCGAACCTGAATCGGGGTCAGCTCAAGTGGGTTTCAGCAGAGTTGGAGCCAAATTTCACGGCGAATCTCCTGGGAAAGTGGTTGGCTCCGGGGGGAGAACCCTGCAGAGAGGCGAGGACCGTCGAGATTTCAGTTCCCAGCATCGACGGTAGGGATTCGGTAGAGTTAACAACCGGTGAGATCCATGAATTCTATTTTCAAGCCCTAGATGATTCGGGCAAACCCGTTTGCATTGGTGGGGATTACTTCGAGACGGATCTCTCCGGCGAAAACTGGAAATCTAGACCGCTGGTGAAAGATTTCGGCAACGGAACTTATTCTGTGTCGCTTCAGGTTCACCCAGATTTCGCCGGCGATTACAATCTCACCGTGATTTTGCTCTTCCGTCACTTCGAAGGCCTTAAGTTCAGTCCCACGCGCTTCGCGTTCGACAAAACGCTACGCAACATCAGAATACGCTTCGCTAAGGCTGACGTCACTTTGCCGGAGCTCAGGGCATGTGAAGCATCGGATTTTACCAGGGACGCGTGGTCTGGACGGTGGACGAGGCACGGGAAGAACGATGACTGCCAGATCAGCAACGACGGCCGCTACCGTTGTCTCCCGGCCGATTTCGCTTGCCGGAAGCCATGGTGCGACGGCGCATTAGGAGCGTTAGAAAGCAATGGTTGGGTTTACTCGAGCCATTGCTCTTTCAAGCTGTTTTCCGGCGATTCAGCTTGGGAATGCTTGAAGAACAGATGGATTTTCTTCTGGGGAGACTCGAATCACGTGGATTCGATCAGAAACTTGCTGAATTTCGTCCTGGGTCTGCCTGATATCCACGCGGTGCCGAGAAGATTCGACATGAACTTCACCAACCCGAAAAACGAATCGCAGACCGTTAGGATCACGAGCATTTTCAACGGCCATTGGAACGAATCCCAGAACTATTTAGGATTGGATTCGCTGAAAGATCAAGGCTTTAGAGACTTGTTGAACAAATACTTCTCAGAAGCGACCGCCCCGGACGCCATGATCGTGAACTCAGGCTTACACGACGGCGTCCACTGGTCCAACCTCAGAGCGTTCGTGAAAGGCGCAGAGTACGCAGCCAAGTTCTGGAGAGAGGCATTCGACTCGGTCACGAGCCGAGGACTGAAGCCACCAAAGGTAATCTTCAGGAACACGATCGCGACAGGAGGGTACGCAAGATCACTGGCTTTCAACCCGAGCAAGATGGAAGCTTTCAACGGCGTGTTGCTGGAGAAGATGAGGAGAGAGATGCTGGTCCAGCGGGTGGTCGATAACTTCGACATGACGTATCCATGGCACTACGATAACCGGTGCAATGACGGGGTTCATTACGGCAGAGCTCCGGCCAAGATGCGGTGGAGGGACGGCGAGATCGGGCATCAGTACTTCGTGGATCTGATGCTTGTGCACGTGCTGATGAACGCGCTGTGTGTAAGATGATTGAGAGGTTGGTGCTTAGGAGTTTTACCCATTCTTTATATTAGTTTTGGGTTGAGGGTATAGAAGATGATGATTCGAGATTATATACTATGATTGTGTGTTTGTGTTTTTTTTTTGTATATTAGTTGCATTTGGTGGGGGAATTGTATGATAAATGTCGTTAGTATTTTATGCACCAACTGATTTTGTTCTCTTCCAAAAACTTGGCTGTTTGATGATGATGATGATGATGCTGATGATGATGATGATGATGATGATGATGATGATGATGATGAACATTTGAAGACAATCCCCCCCGTGTTAATGTTTTCAATCTAATGCTAATGGGAAGGTAGCTGAGGGACGTAGGGTGGGTGTTTGGATATATGGAACCAAAATATATGGTAACGTTTTTTAACCGGATTGTTCGAAATTTTCAAAAGGTAAATTTTTACAAAACCGAAATTTCTAAAATTGATCCGGAACCGAATTTTTAAAAAACTCGATAAATAATTTTTTTTAAAGAAAATCTAATTTTTTTTAAAACCGGAACCGAAATACAACGGAAGATAATATAATAAATTAATAACCATTTGATATATATTTTTGTAGAAACGAATAATTTTCGAATCAAATTCGAATCGAATATAGAAACGTCCATCCAAAGATTTATAAATTATTTTCATGATTTTTCAGAAGGAAACAACACTTCAATTGCAAAAATTTTAAAAACAAAAAACTTGATATGTCCTTATTGGCCAATTTGGACCTACGACTATATTCAATTTGGGCTTTTTTTTTTCTTCCCAACCTAAACCCAAATAGATCTAAAGGGATTATTATATCCAATCAATTTTATATATTATATTTCATTCTATATATACGATTGTATAAAATTTGTCCCTTTTATAAAATACCCGGTTATATAACATCCACTAAATTATATCCTTATTTTGTATATTAATTACATTATAACGTTCAATAATTAGTAGCATTGATTATTTTTATACGAAACACGAACACAATTGTTTACTATTAAAGCCATACAAATAATAAGTTACCATTTTTATGCGCTTCATGTTTATTAATAATATTATATTAAGCATATTGTTAATATAACCTCAGGTAATTAATTGGTGATGAAAAAAATAGGTAATTAGTTGGAAAAAAAAGTGTACGGTAACAATGTGATCACGGTTTTCCCTGAACCAGTCCTCCGGCTCAGAGCTCACGCTAAAGACGGGTTTTTTGCAAAATTTCTGGGCAATTGAATCAATCTTACGAAATCTCCAATCGAGTTGGTGCCCCTTGTCGTTTTCGGATCAAGAGAATCAATCAGCAAGGCAAAAGGCCCCGCCGAGTGTTTTCCACTCGAAGATTTGTTCCCGGTTTTGAAATCAAATAGCTTGTCTTAATCTAGGGGGAAAAGGGTGAAGGGATTAGGAATCTGTTCGTCGTCCGGAGAAAGCCATCCTCAGATATCGATCGGCGACGAGGAGGAGAATTGGAGGTCTCTCTGTTCATGGCGTTCACGTGGGGTTCTGCCCTCAGGGTTTTCCTTCTCCTGATTCTTCTCGCCGCCATTGTCTTAGCTTGCTACTCTCTCCCCGTCGAAAAGGTCCTTCTCATTGCTGCTCTTGTTTTCGTCGTGATTTTTGTGAAATTAGGGCATTCTATTCGGGTTTCTGATGTGGGTTTCTGTTGATTTCCCAAAATTCGCATGCTTTTTGTGGATTGTGGACCCGGATATATAATATTGCGTGTCGCGTTTATTGAGATGAATGGTTGATTGATTGGGAATTAGACATTGTTCTGCCAATTTTGTGGCTGCTCGGAAGTAGCAGTGGCGGATTCTTGAATGTGTTATTCGATTTCTGGCAATGGTATGTGATAATCATTCGATTTCTGGCAAGGACTGCTGAGGGATTTAGAGCTAAATGCTTAGCACTCTAAATGCAAGCCGTGCTTCACAATTATAGATGGGAATCTCTGGATAATCATTCCAGTTTGGATCTGTTTCATTTCCAGTAAAGATTCGTGGCACTAGCTAGTAATTGTTTTGGTTATTTACTGTTTCATTCTTGCTGTTGCAGATTTTGAAGGATTTTTTGTTATGGGTTGAAGAAAATTTAGGACCTTGGGGGCCGTTTGCTCTGTGAGTGATTTCCCTCCTGTTTCTGGAATCTTAATCAACAAAATTAGATGCTTTAGCCATTGAGACACAACACTCTGCCGTATAAAATGCTGGATACCGTACCGTGAATATGATACTGAACAAATTGTGCTTATCTGAAATACACTCAGGGCTGTTGCATACATACCTCTCACAGTTCTGGCGGTTCCTGCTTCAATTCTCACGGTACGTCTCAGATCCTAGGTCTTCCATACGTGACGTGTGCTGTATATAGTTCCTGCTCGGTAATAATGATAGGAATCTTATAAAATGAAAACCTTATGATATGAAAGATGTGATTTTTCAGGTTGGAGGTGGGTACCTGTTCGGTTTGCCAATTGGTTTCGTTGCGGACTCGGTCGGTGCTACTCTCGGAGCTGGAGCAGCATTTCTTCTCGGGCGTACTGTAAGCTTGTCAAACTTTGTTTTTTTGTGTGTGTGTGTTGGCAGAGAGCGTTTGAGCAGAATATTTCTGTAGCTTACTATTCATTATTTATGGCCGGTGGATTGTTGTTTGTTGAATATTCTTGATTTATCTGCTTATTATATTTTCCCGTTTTTAGTCACGAACGATATCCTTTCCAGGTTCCCGATTTTGTAGTGCTTTGAGCTTACTATGCTTGCAATACGTTTATGCAGATTGGAAAACCTTTTGTCGTCTCTAAATTGAAGGATTACCCTCAATTTCAGTCGGTAGCACTTGCGATTCAGAATTCGGGTTTCAAGGTTCGCATCGAGAACCGAGTGATCATCAGATTCTATCAAGGTTTTGATCTTTTATATGCTGATGGTTTTGAGAACTTGTGATTTTGTAATTGAATAGATCTGCTTGCTGCTTCGGCTTGCTCCTCTTATCCCCTTCAACATGTTGAACTACCTCTTATCCGTGACTCCGATTCCTCTGGGCAATTACTTGCTCTCTTCTTGGTTAGGGATGATGGTAATCTATCTACATTCTCGTATTTGTTATAAAGTACTTCCACAATTTTCTTTCTCAACATCAGAACACAGCTTCGTATGTTCTTCATTCGCAGCCAATAACACTCGCATTAGTGTATGTTGGAACAACTCTGAAAGACCTTTCTGATGTGACTCATGGGTGGAGCGAATTTTCGCTAAGACGTTGGGTAAGAATCGGACAATCTTTATTACATTTCCCGGCTTCCTCTCAAGTTGTTGTCCTCAGATCATGTTCTGTATTCATAGGTGATCCTGGTTTCAAGCCTCGTAGTATCCGGTAAGTTCCCGAGTTCCTGCAAAACTTATAAAAAGAAAGTCTGAAGCCATGAGGATGCCAAATGTTATCGAACTAAACTTAAAGACACAAACTTTTGGATCTATGAATCTACGTATCAATGCCGGAAACCATATGGGCATGTGCATATGCTTTGATGTTTTTCATCTTCTTCTTCTTCTCCATTTCTCGCAGTGATATTGATGATATGTGTTACGAAAGTGGCAAGGGACGCCCTCGAGAAAGCTTTAGCCGAGCACGAGGAAACGAATGGGGTCACTGCCATGCCGCCAGAACTGGCCGTTCCGGCTGATCTGAATCAGCCTCTGCTAATCAAGGTAGATCCTCCTCAGGTCCAAGTGCAATCGAGAAAATAGTAATCATTGATAACTGCTGATTCTTGTTTAATTGTGTACATGTAAATCTAAAATTTACTCATCTATAGAAGAAATTGGGTGTTTTCATGGTCTGTATATGTAGACAAAAGATTGAATCTTTTTTTATATATATAAAAAAATCATATTCTTGTTCTGGGTCAAGCTCGTATTATGAGATATAACAACAACACATGACCTTAACATAATCAGAGGAATATGACCATATCATATACTGCACTCATCATGACATTGTGGGTGTGGTGCCAAAATGGCAAAAACCCAGAAAGACTAGAGCTTGAGGGCCAAGAGAAATGGACGCCAGTTTCTTGCTGATGATGAAAGTCCGAAGCAAAATTGATGGAAATGATTCTTATTCTTGAATCTTGATTGATGCTGTGCTGTTGTTTCCTACCCAAGGGATTGTGGAAATCAGGATAATCTGCTGGAAGAAATTCCATAAAGTTTGGAACTTTGATTCAGTTACCCTTCTGATCTTATGTCCGAAGGAACATTCCAGGTTGAGAGATGAACAAAAGAATCTCTCTCTCTCTCTCTCTCTCTCTACACAGCCGAAAAGAAAACCAGCTCGAGAATGTTCCCTATTCAAGTTAGCCTTATATATATATATATATAGACAGAGAGAGAGAGAGAGGAATGTGTGTTCAAAGTCTCAGAATTTTGGAATGCATGTCTATGAAGAGGGTACCCAAAGGCTTCATTTGGATTGCTTGTGCACGTTCTCTTAGACAAACTTAAAAGAAAATTATTAAAATCCTGGATTTATCATTTTTTTTTTGACAAATGATATGCTTTAACTATATTCTTGTCACAGTATATATATGCTTTATAAAAATATTAGTAAAAACTCTTATTATTCTAGATTCAGGATTCAATTTTTATAAAGATAAATACAATGCAAAAAAGATCTGTTTTTGTCTAACATTGATATATAAAAAACCAAAAATAAAATCAAAGCTAAATGTAAATCAATATCATATAATTTTATAGGATCTTCCTTTATGTGCCGTACATAATTCATTATTATTTTTTTGGTTAAATCATTGAAAATATTTTAAAAGCAACCTACCCTGAAAGCACGTGGGATGCGATCATAAGCACAAGCATTTACATAGAAGTGAAAGATCTTCAAAGGGAAAAAAGGTGAATTGGAACTTTTTTAAAATTATAAAAGCCAAAAGGGAAAATAATTACAGATGCATCTAATAGAAAATAAAAAAAAAACTTTAGTTATACGGATGGTTATATAAAATTATAATTAAAAAATTGAGAGGAATAATAAAAAGATTAAAAGGGGCTAATGGCAGAAAACGTGATTATGTTCTCTTCAACTCCGGGTGAGGCCTTCATCATCATTCGCACAAACCCCTCTTTTTTTTTAATATTTTAAAATATAATTTAGTTACTAGTAAAGTTTTAATCTTTTGCGTTAACATATAAAATAACAGCATTAAACTTTATTTTTGCATTTGTATTTATTTTTAATTATTTCTAATAATAGGATTCAAATATCGTTATAATTATTATTTTCTCGAATTCTTTTATCAAATATGAAATATTGAAAAATATATAAAATATGCATATATCAAAGTTTATTTAAAAAAATTCTATGAATATATAGATTTTTTACAATTACCAATATATATATATATATATTATGGATTAATTGCTCAATGGCTCCACTAAATAAGAGAGCAAATATACCTAACACTCCAAGAGGGTGACAGAGAGGTGGATCTGACACAATTAGGTACTATGGATTACATACCATATCATAACCTTTTATTATCAAATCAAATTCCAAGGTTTATAACGTGGCCAAAGCCAATTCACACATGAAATCTCCAAAAATAAAAAATATATATATATATATGTATAACAAATGTGTATGTATGTAATTATGTAAAATAAACATGTATGCATATGGTGCCTTTTCATCGCTGATTTCAAGGCCACAACTTTATATTGTTTCACCATGAAATATTTGTATATTTCCCCCATTATGTTACATTTGTTTAAGCTTTAAGGCCTACGTGAGTGAGAGAGTACTATACAGCACTCCTTTGTTTTCTGATAAATTAAAAAGCCCCTTGCAGAAAGATAGCCATGGCTGCAAGCTTGCTTCTCTCTATCCTCTCTCTCTCTCTCTCTCTCTCTCTCCCTCCATCTCTCTCTCTCTCTCTCTCAAATAGATGAAGCAGAGAAGTTAATGTCTACCTACTTACTGTAAAGTCCGAAGCTTTCTTCTTCTTCTTCTTCTTCTTTCAAGCAAAGCCTCTGTTTTTCTTCTCTGGGTGTTTTCCCTTTGTGGGTGGTGTGAGTGAAAAAAAACCCGGAAGGAAAAGACAGTTCCTCCTCCTCTGTAGCTGTCTTTCATGTAATGTACACTTATGTGCATCTCTGTCTGAAATTGTTCTTGTTTTTTTTTCTTCTGGGTGTCTTATGGATGTATTCATGGGTGCATTTTCTTGGTATTCGATTGTGCAGATTGAAGCTTGGGTGGGGATTAGAGGCGTTTGTCTCAGATCCAATAGCTGAGACACGTTTGGGGTTCTTCACATTCAGACATTTCTCTGTTTCTTGAAGTCTGAGGAAAGATGAGTAAAGAAGAATTGATGAAGATTCAGGTTTTGTTTTGCTGAATTTGAATGTTCTGGGTTCTTGTTCAAATCCCCGTTTCTTGTTCATTGATCTGAGGATTCTTTTCCTTCTGTCACGTCTGTAGACTTGTGTTCTTCAAGTGAACATACACTGCGATGGCTGTAAGCATAAGGTCAAGAAGATCTTGCAGAAAATTGAGGGTACCATCTCCGATCCCCTTTCACTTGAATCTGGTTTCTGGTTTTGTTTTTCTACATAGAGATTTGGTAATTTGCAGTTTGACCCAGTTCTTGTCTGAAAACAGGGGTGTTCACGACCAAGATAGATGCAGAACAAGGGAGAGTGACCGTCTCTGGGAATGTAGATCCGTCACTTCTGATCAAGAAGCTCGCTAAATCTGGCAAACATGCCGAACTCTGGGGAGCTCCGAAGTCTAACAACAATCAGAACCACAACCACTTACCCACTCAGTTCAAGAACATGCAGCTTCACCATGGAAAAGGCGGCGGCAAAGATAAGAAGGACGGCGGCGGCGGCAAAGAGCAGAAGAACGACGGCGGTGGCGGTAAAGAGCAGAAGAACGGCGGCGGTAACAACAACCAGCCGAAGATGGGTCAGCAGCTGAACCCGCAACAGATTCAGCAGCTGCAGAAGATGAAAGGGTTTCAAGATCTGAAACTGCCACAGCTCAAGGACATGAAAGGTCCTGTTCCTATGAACAAGAACCCGCCACCGAACCAGAAGGCTGTGAAGTTCGCTGTTCCTGAGGATGATGACTTCAGCGTTGATGATGAATTCGATGATGAGTTTGATGACGACGACGAATTCGACGATGATTTGGATGATGACTTCGAAGATCATCCTCCTCCTCCGTCTAACAAGATGAAACCCGTGATGATGCCCAACGGTAATAATAACGGCGGCGGTAACGGTAAAAACGGTGTTCTCATCCCGGTTCATGCCGGCGGTGATAAAAACGGAAGCGCCGGAAAAAAGGGCGGTAACGGAGGGAATCAGAACAACGACAAGAACGGCGGCGGCGGTGGAGGAGGACAGAACAACAATAAAGGCGGTGGTAATAACGGTGGTCCGAACGGCAATAAGAAAGGAAATAATGGCGGCGGCATGAACGGAGATATGCCACTGGGATTTCCCCCGAACTGTCGACTACCGGCGGTTCAGGGGCTACCGGCGACGGGTCCGATGGCAGGTAACCCAGGTTACTTCCAGGGAGCTAGTCCCGATCCGATGATGCCAGGCAACCCGAACAATCCACAACAGCAACAGCAATACTTAGCGGCAATTATGAACCAGCAGCGAGCCATGGGGAACGAGCGGTTCCAGCCGATGATGTACGCTCGGCCACCGCCCGCTGTTAACTATATGCCACCGTATCCGTATCCGTATCCTAATACGTACCCGTACCCGTACCCGTACCCGTACCCGTACCCGTACCCGCCCCACGGTGGCGAACAGTCCTCGCAGATGCTTAGTGAAGAAAACACGTCAAGCTGCAGTGTAATGTGAACGATATATATATAAAATAATCATTTTGGGCTTATACATGGAAAATGTGGGGCCTTTTAATTTATGGGACGAGTCGAATCTTAAGTTATATGTCTATTAGGCTTTTTAATTGTGACAGTTTCGGTAATTTTAATAGATCATACCTTAAATTTCCAAATAAGAATGCGAAAAAATAAGTGGAAGAAAATGTTTTATTTCTCAAAATGTCAGCCAAAAATCATGGAAAATAATGGAGTTGTATCATTTTCGTCCATGGGTTTGCTTTAGTCTCATCTTCTCCATTATTATGTTTGATTTGACAATAAGAAAATAATTATTATGGAAATCTTTAGATTCGCTTAATATGACGTCATCATGATGATGATGATATACTACTAAAGTTGTGGTGGGCCCCATAGTGCGGGTGATTTAATTTACCGTCACAGACTCATACGTCTCGTCGTCAGGTATATGGATTAAATAAACTCTGAAATTACTCCTCTGCTCACCGGCCAGAAATCGAATACTCAACCTCAAACTGGAATTAATTTATATTCCAAAGTTTGACCACTCGTCCACGATCTGTTGGGTTGATTTAGTTCTTTTCTTAATATTGCTTTGAGTTTTTATATTTTTTTATTTTCTGAAAATTGTGTGTTGGATTTATATATCACACTAAATACCAACAAAAGCTTTAGATTCGCCCAGAATTTTTCTTTCTAAAATGTTTTATTTTCCTGTTGCCGATATCAATATATAAATAATTTTAGAAATTAGAAAAAAAAAGTAAGGGTCCCAGCTAATGTTTTATCTTAGATTTGATTTAAATTCAAAATAGTACAAAATCATTAGATACGATTGAAACGAACAAAATCTAAATTATGTTTAGAATGGTCCTTTAGAAAATAATATATTTCTAAAAATATTATTATGATTTAGAAGGCGGGTAAGGAGTCTTATGTCAGACATGAGACATGAGACATTGAGACATGACATATACATATTTGCTGTATTTGTTTTTGGCAAAATGTGCATTTCATGATATTCGGAATATATAATTTCAATATTTGAAAAAAATATAAAAAATCCCATAAAAATAATTTGATCACATTAAACATACTAATATTTATGTAAACTTTTAATTTACTAAGAATACATTAACCTTCTTTAAATTGTCGAATCAATAACTTATATCTCATATCATCATCGCCAACAAAAACAATTATAAAAATGTATAGATCTGTATCAATTGTATATAATTTATATTTGTATGGAAAATTATATATATTTAGTAATTGAGAAAAATGGTATATTATTTGATAAACCAAAAATTTATATTTTTAATATATTCTGCATTTTTAGGATTTTTTGTCAAAAATTTATTTACGAGGATGGTGAGACTGAGCATATCATTCAGATAATTAATTATTTAGTTTTTACACTTATTGGGATATCTGAAAAACAATTACTTTTTTCGCCATTCATTCAATTATTTTTAATCTTTTTAATACAATTCCCAAAAATAATTTTCTAATCATTTACCCATCATCTTTCTTTCCCAATTCATAGTTTTATATATAAATTAAAAAAAAAAAAAGATGTTGATTTGTACAACTGAGATATGAACAAAAATGCATTGTTTATTTAGTTATATTTAATTTATCTTCTTCCTAATATTGTTTTTTATAGTACGATATGATTTTTTCCACGATTGATTATACAATGACAAATTCTAACAAACCTCGGTAAATTTCAAAGGATTTTAAAGCTAGCCAAAATGTTATAAATGTAAAATATTTAGAATACAGATCATTATTTAAAATTAAATAGACAACCAGTAAAATCATATAAACCAATTACAGTTCTATTATTAAAATCAATTAAAGTCTTTTAAATTAGGTGATTGAATAAGTAATGTGGGAGAAGATCCGACCCCCCCCCCCTTCTCAACCCTTGTTTGGTTGCGGCCCTCACACTATCCTTCTGCAGCTCGTGGTATCTGCTTTCGGTTTCTGTATATCCGCGTTACCAATCACATCTCATAACGGGTATGACAGAACAGACCTATCTTTTCCACCATTTTCTCTTTTGGGCCCCATGGTTTTCTTCTTTACCCTCTTATTTCTTCAATTTGAGACAGGCGAATGTGCTTAAATTTATAGTAAAATTGTTTTGTTATAGGGTATACAATAATTTATAATTTATGTGAAAAGAGAAAAATATTATTGAATGACTAATTTTTCAATCATGTAAAGAATATTCATAAAATTTCGTTAATCAATTTAAAACATATTGGTGTCGGATTATGTGTTAGTGTATGCATTTCTTCGAAAAAGAAACCGGAAAAATAAATTTATAGTTTGGTTGGATAGATAGGCACATTACCCTGAACAGTCCAATCACATGCTGCCATGTCATCTGGATGAGATATCATCAGCTGCATTATTGATCATCCTAAGAGTTGATCACAGCCGTCAAATGAGAGCCCAGATGGCGCCAAACAACGCTCGGTTGTCGATGACACTTGTGGGACCCATATGGTTGTCTCATTCCTTTGCCGGTTACGAAACCGCGGGAACAACGATGAGCTGACGTGAAGTTCGTTGACGCCGTTAAGTTTCAGCATTATAGCGTGACGGCACGTTTGAAAGCACGAAACTTTTGATATGGGTCAACATGCATGGCATGGATGTAGATAACGTTATCGACGACCCAGAATGTGCCACATTTCATGGCATTCATAATGTAAGCCACATTATTTTAATTGCACATATGTATACATATTATTTTTATCATATGATCCAAAAATATCAGAAAAAGACTTGTAAGAGTCAAAGTGAGGAGATCGAAGTTCAAAAGCACAAGCCCCGAAGGCTTTCATTAGCAGACGATCTCACATGGCGATGTCCGGCCACCGGCAAATGCCCGTGATCAATAATAATAATAATAATCGTTCGGACAAATAAAATAATATTTTAAAAATTTTAAAATTTTATTCTTTTTATTTTTTAATGATATGATAATTTGACAAATGACGTGGTAAATTATATCAACATCCGAACAAAACTTAATGATGTTTATAGATAATGAAAAATTGCAACGTATTTTTTTATATTTCGCGTAGATTTTAGAAAATTTTGAATTTTTATATAAATTTTTGTTAAATTAAAAATTGGTGTAAGAATAAAAAAATTCGTGTGGGAATATACTATTTTTTTATATGTATATATATATATATATATGACATGTACAATAGAAACTGAATAACGAAATTACGGAAATTTTAGTCTCAAATAAATGATAAATGTATATTCATGATTTTGTTCGCTTGTTAAGTTGTAAAAAGATTTAAATGAAGAAGAAGAAGAAGATTTAAAATAAATGACATATGTATATCCACGTAATGGCTGTTAAGAGTGTATAATGCGATGGACGGTCAAAACGGAGTAAAATACATCAATCTCCTCCTAATTACTGTCTAAGGCTTATAGTTATAGGGCGTTTTCAATTTTCTATATGAATAATCTAGCATTATATAAATTGTTGGTAAATTTTAATAAACACTTGGCAAAATCGAGGTAAATTCTTTAAAAAAATCTCTTATATATATACATATATATAGAGAGAGACATGCATGAAACACAACACCAACTAATCAAGCAGTTATGAAACGAGAACAAGAAGTGTTATGAACTAGAAGCGAGGAAGTGACACTGAACCTGGAGGATTCCAGATCAAACTCTATCAGATTATCCTCTAACAGATGTGATCCGATCACGATCCCGGCCACGGCGTCTGGCCCTCCGTCGAACAACTGCAGACACGTCTTGCGTTCATCGAGATCCACCATGTAGTCCGAGCCATAGATCCTCCATATCCCGCCGCTCTCCAGCACAAGCTCGATCTCGGGCACGTCGTCCGGTCCGTGGGTTCCCCTTCTTCTTATGCTCTTCTTGTCGAAACACGTGATATACGTAGTGTCGTCTGCCCATACTTGGACCATCTTCTTCTCCGTGGCCTTCGCCATGAAGGCTTCATAGAAGGGCTCGAAGATGGAAGGGTGAAAATAGGTAAAGGGGCTGGCCATGCTCAGTTTGGTCCCACCGCTCCCGTCTTTGCGAATCGAGAGTAGAGATTTCTTTAGAGGAACCGCTTCTCCCTCTATCTTTATGGATTTCACGCCGATGAAGTATTCGTATGAGGGTACGCCTTTGTACTGTGCATGGCAAGAGAAACAACACGAAACTCCATCTCAGTAAATAGATATACGATGATCGAATAAACCCTTGAGCGATGAAGAGAAAATCGAATGTACCCTTTCGTTGACGGGGTTGACGAGCAGGGGGGTGGTGTCGAAGAGACGGGAAGCGTCGCCGGAGAGAGGAGGAAGGGAATAAGGGCCGCCGCCGATGAAAAGGTCGCCATAGCCAGCTTCTTTGGGCTTGGAAGGAAGGCAGAGAGCGAATTTACGCGGAATCTTGAAGGCGGACGAGAGCTGCATGGGAAGAGAGAGCACGTGCCTCGACAGACCGAGCATGCCACGAGAAGGGTCGGTCGGGGGGATCAAATAGAAAGAGGGACAGGCGAATACCAAAGGGGAACCGATCAGGCTAGAGCCGTCAGGAGTTGATATGAAGTTCATTACGTCTTGAGCCAATCCACCGCCAGAACCCATGCCGTACTTTGGATTGTACGAAACGACCTGACAAGAATGGTTGGAACAACCTGGACTGACAGGAACTCCTACTGCGCAGTCAAATGAAGCTGCAACACGACAGACCATTGTGGGCAAGAGCCAAACTCAATCGGATCTTGATATATAACATGACCGAACCAAAAGGATATAACACGATCATGTTACGATTCATGGGGCTAGAAAGGATATTTGGATGAAAATATATTCATATATATATATATGAACTTGACTTACAGGTGTCCTCGACGAGTTTGCATATGGGAGAGCCGTAGCGGATTGGACGGTAGGAGGAGGAGTTGTAGCCAGGGGTGAAACACTCGTACCACGGGAACCTTCCTCCGAGGTCTAGGGCAAACTCGGTCGACACTGTCGGTTTAGTGCCGAAGCCGATGGTGACAGTGTAGAAGCCGGAGTTCACATTTTTGGCCACCGGTAAGATAACCGCCATGGAAGGGCCCTGCCGGGAGAAAACTGTTGCGGCTGAGAGGAGGATGGTGATGGCGATAAGTCGGAGATTAACCATTTGTCACTTTTCAATGTCCGATTCCTATATTTTCAAATGAAATCTGAAAGCTTATGTATACATTTTCAGAAACATTTTCAAAAATAGCTATATATATATATATATATATATATATAAAAAAGACAGATCCAGTCAACACCCGCGTGCTACTCTTCTTGTATACATCAAAGTGTTGACTGTAGACCACTTACCTTAAAATATGGAAATGGAAGTGCTATACAACTAGTGGACAAATCATTAATACATCCATCAATCATTAATATATAGATCTATAAAATAAAAATATTTTTTTTATATATGTAAATAAATTCTTAAAATAATGTATGATGGAATTTGATAAAGTTGTAAACAAACTATTATAATAGAAAAAAATATGAATGCTGAAACCTAAAAAGATTTTAGATTATCTAAAATTCCTTGGTATGAGAGCGAAACTAAATTCGAAACATCTCGCCCTCTCATATTGAAATCCCTAACCCTAACTCTAATAAAAAATTGGAAACTTGAATCTGTATTCGAAAATCGAATTTTTACCATCGTTGGACCAACCCATATTCAAATAGACATATACATCTATATAAAAAATTTTGGATATATGACTCGCGAATAGGTTTCATATGCTTTTATTTCAAATTTTGTTTTTATTGTAAACGCGTGAAGAAGATCCTGGAGATCTATGACCATGACTATGACTATGACTATGACTATGACTACGAGCCCAAGTTGTATCGCCTATATTTGTTTTATTGCACACTTGTGTATTAAAAGAAAGAAAACATAATGGAAGACTGTCCATATCTCCAAGTGCGTAATAAATAAACTTTATCTGTATAGGATTGGATTTAACATAAATTAAATATTTATGTATACGTTGGAATTTTACATATATACATATACATATATCATTTTTTATAAAGTGTACAAATTTTATATCTTGCGGAGAAATATTTGACTAGTTACACAAATTCAATTATATATTCTTTTTATTCGAAGTATAATTAAAATACATATTTTGACTCTCTCTTTTTAACATATTTAATTACAATCAAGCTGTCCTGAAACGAGAGCAAGAAGTGTTGTGCATTAGAAGCGAAGAAGTGACACTGAACTTGGAGGAATCGAGATCGAACTCGACCAATGTATCCTCCAACGCAAGCGAACCGATCACGATGCCAGCCCGAGCTTCTTTCCCCGCGTCAACAAACGCCAAGCACGTCCGGTTCTCATCGTAATCCACCATGGAGTTCGAGCCGTAGATTCGCCAAATCCCGCCGCCCTGAACCAGCAGATCGATCACGGGAACGTCCGGTCCGGTGATTCCCCTTCTCACGCTTCTCCGGTCGAAGCACGCCATAGGCGGATACATACCATCGCTCGGTGCTGGGACCATATTCTTCCCCGTGGCCTTAGCCATGAAGGCTTTGAAGAAGGGTTTGAAGATGGCAGGGTGCATTGAGGTACAGGGCGCGATGGAGCTGAGCTGAGTGCCGCCATTCCCGTCTTTGCCAATCGACAGAAGAGATTTCTCGAAAGGAATCGTTTTTCCGTCTATCGCGATGGATTTCACGCCGATGTAGTAATCGTTAGAGGGTGCGGCGTTGATCTAAAACAGCAAGCAAGTAGAGAACGTTACTTGATGTTGAAGCAAATAACGAAGTTATAATGCTTTATAACTTACCAGAGGCAACGTGGAGTAGTATGGATTGCCGAACAAAGGGGCGGCCACGAACAGACGGGAAGCGTCTCCTTGGTACGGAGGGTAGAAATATGGACCACCGCCGATGAAAAGGTCACCTCGGGCTGACGCTTTGGGCTTGGAAGGAAGGCAGAGAGCGAATTTTCGGGGAAGCCTGAAGGCGGAAGTGAGCTGATTAGGAAGAGAGAGTCCGTTCTTGGAAAGGCCGATCATTCCAAGAGATGACGCCGGGAAAGGATACTCGAAAACCTCGTCATCGGCGCAGGCGAACACCAACTGAGGAGATTCGAGACGAGGGCCGAGTGTACGACCGTCTGGGGTTGATACGAAGCTCATCACGTCCTGTGACAGGACACTTCCGTGATAATTCCGATTGCTATACGGATTGTTCACGTCCACCCCGCAAGATGGATCGGGGCAGGTGCCGATCGGGTAGCAAGAACTCGTCATACCTTCAAAACAACAAATCCGGAGAAAAAAAAAAGAATGAATCACTTTCGGAAATATTGTCATTGATCAAGACGTGGGCTTACTAGGGTTCTTGACGAGTCTGCATTTGGGAGAGGAGTAGCCGATTTCGCGGTAGGAGGAGGAGTTGTAACGTGCAGTTGAACACACGAACCAGGGGAACCCTCCTCCGAGATCGATGACGAAGTCGATCGAGGCAGTCGGGTCAGTGCCCAATCCGATGGCGGCGGAGTAGAGGACGTTGTGGAAGGGCATCGTCTCTTTGGCCACCTGTACGATGAAGGCATGTGGGTTCTTGGCTGTGTCTTCCGCCGCCGAGGAATGGCCGGAGAGGGAAGCGGTCACGGCGGCGGGGAAGAGGAGGAGGATGAGAAGCTTGAGAGTAGCCATTTTTTTTGTCTCTTGCCCTACGAGAAGAAAGTCAAAGTTCACTTATTTACAAAGTGGAACCACACCATGCAACGACTCTTTTTTATTATCATTATTATTTAGATAAATGGAAATTCAATCATTTTTCCTATCGGAAATTCGAAAGTGAGAATTATCTATTAAAAGATTATATTATTGATAGGATTAATATTAATGTTCTAATATTAGAAATTTGTAGTTTTTTTTTTTTGCGTAACTATAAAATATAGCTGTCAAATGGTATATCTAGTCTTCTTCCTTGGTTCAATATATATAACATTATACATTTATTTTATTTATTGTGCATTTCGAAATGCGGACCCTGCTCCATAGTCTTTACCTTCTTTAAGTCTGCAAATCAATGTAATAAAATAAATTCAGGAAAAAACACGACATGGGCGCATAGTAGGATTTACTACCGGAAGTGACTTTAAAACTGAAAAGAAAACACCATAAATTCGACGGAGAATGGTTTAAAATATGATTTAGCTAGATATATTAATATAATTTATAATTATAATTTTATAAATCGGTCGGTGAATATTAGGAACTATATATAGTTCAGTCAACGTGCATGTGATGTGATTACAAAAATGAAAGACGCACGACGTGCCCACTTGCCATAATCAACGTGGGAGTGCGATACAGCAGGGACGCACAGTAATAGGTCTACCAAATCGGTATCTCGATGATTTTATTGAATAAATTATACTAATAAATGTAGGTACAAAGTGATCTTCCATGGAGACGGTAACAAAAAGTGGTATTACAGAAACTTAGGTATAACTTCGTATGACGTGGAAATATTAAGGAGGAACGAAAATTCACGTTCCATAAAAATAGCACGAGATTCTGCGTGGTCACTGGTCATACAATGTGACCGCTTTATTAGTCAAATGAAAACATAACATGAGAACACGAGACGCGACATCAACCAGTCAAGCAGTTCTGAAACGAGAACAAGAAGTGTTATGAACTAGAAGCGAAGAAGTGACACTGAACTTGGAGGATTCCAGATCAATCTCTATCAGATTATCCTCTAGAAGACGTGTTCCGATCACGATCCCGGCCACGGCGTCTGGCCCTCCGTCGAACAACTGCAGACACGTCTTGCGTTCATCGAGATCCACCATATAGTCCGAGCCATGGATCCTCCATATCCCGCCGCTCTGCAGCACAAGCTCGATCTCGGGCACGTCGTCCGGTCCGTTGGTTCCCCTTCTTCTTATGCTCTTCTTGTCGAAACATGTGATATACGTAGTGTCGTCTGCCCATACTTGGACCATCTTCTTCTCCGTGGCCTTCGCCATGAAGGCTTCATAGAAGGGCTCGAAGATGGAAGGGTGAAAATAGGTAAAGGGGCTGGCCATGCTCAGTTTGGTCCCACCGCTCCCGTCTTTGCGAATCGAGAGTAGAGATTTCTTTAGAGGAACCGCTTCTCCCTCTATCTTTATGGATTTCACGCCGATGAAGTATTCGTATGAGGGTACGCCTTTGTACTGTGCATGGTAAGAGAAACAACACAAAACTCCATCTCGGTGTCGCACAATATACAATGATCGAATAAACCCTTGAGCGATGAAGAGAAAATCGAATGTACCCTTTCGTTGACGGGGTTGACGAGCAGGGGGGTGCTGGCGAAGAGATGGGAAGCGTCGCCGGAGAGAGGAGGAAGGGAATAAGGGCCGCCGCCGATGAAAAGGTCGCCATAGCCAGATCCTTTGGGCTTGGAAGGAAGGCAGAGAGCGAATTTACGCGGAATCTTGAAGGCGGACGAGAGCTGCATGGGAAGAGAGAGCACGTGCCTCGACAGACCGAGCATGCCGAGGGATGAATCCGAGGAGGGGATTAAATCGAAAGAGCAGCAGGCGAATATCAAAGGGGGCGAGTCGAAACGGGAGCCAAGTCCAGAGCCGTCAGGAGTCGATATGAAGCTCATCACGTCTTGGGCCAAGCCTCCGCCACAACCTACGCTGTAGCTTGGATTGTACGAAGCTACCTGACATGAATGGTTCGAGCAACCGGGACTCACAGGGACTCCTACCGCGCAGTCAAGAGGAGCTGTACGTAAAACCACAAATTAACGATTATGTCATATACATATGTTACCAATAGTCAGAAGATTTTTACTCTTCTATTTTTTAGTGCACACTATGAAAAAATATATAAAAATTTAGAACACTTATATTTATATATTATAAAGATATATATATATATATATATATATATATATATATATAAAGAAAAATGGTCAGAGAGGAATGTTTAAAAAGACTATATATATATATATATATATATATGTGTGTACGAAAACCTTTTGTATAACATCCCCTATTTATAACTAAAATTGCAAATTTATATATTACTTTCATCTCCACTGTACTTTTCACTACATCGAATAAATCAATCACATGTAACATATCATTATTTTATTCGGTCACACCTTAACACAGAAATTTACAATGTTTTAAATAAGCATGACATTATCATAAGGTAAACGAATACGACCGAGTGATCATCACCACCTCACATCTCGGCGTAGTTGAACGTGTAAACCTCATGAATCAATTTCCCAATACATATAACCAAAGTCACTTTCACGGTATTGAAATAATCTCACATATATATATATAAATCAAAAGTAATTTCTACGAAACATATATTCATATATATATGAACTAACTTACACGTGTCCTGTCCCGCCGTGGTGGTCTGGTGACGTGGGAGTACAAAGTGCTTCTCCACGTCCCAGATTCGAACCCCACCGGGACAATCACATTATCAAAAAAAAAAAAAAAAAACTTACACGTGTCCTCGGCGAGCTTGCATTTGGGTGAGCCGTAGCGGATGGGACGGTAGGAGGAGGAGTTGTAGCCAGGGGTGAAACACTCGTACCATGGGAACCTTCCTCCGAGGTCTAGGGCAAACTCGGTCGACACTGTCGGTTTTGTCCCGAAGCCGATTGCGACAGAGTAGAGACCGGAGTTCATGTTTTTCGCCACCGGTAAGATAAAGGCGTGAGGTTTATTCGGTTCCTTCAGCGCCGCCATGGAAGGGCCCTGGAAGAAAACTGTTGCGGCTGAGAAGATGATGATGACAAGTCGGAGAGTAGCCATTCTCTCTCTCTCTCTCTGGGTGATGACTCAATCTCGATGCTTATATTATATACTGGAGCATAACCCTACCACGCTCCGTATTTATATTCCTTCAATAAATTTGAACTCAATCGTTAGAAAGTCGTTTAATGTAAAGCTGGCTGATCCACATTTAATTTTTAATAACTATTTCCGCAATGTACGTGATGTTGCATTATTATAATCGAACTCGTACGAGGTGCTTTTCTATATGAATTAAATCGACGATCAGTACGTATAACGAGGCCCATTTTATACATTTTTCAGAAACCACATGAGTGTGTGTATATAATATATATATATAAGTGCATGTGTGTGTGGGAAAACTCCAGTCAATAATGGCGTGCTCTTCCAACTGGGTCCCCTATTCAATATATATATATATCAAAATATGTACAACGTGCCATAATCACTTTTCTTATATATATATATGGAAGTGCCATACAACTTGTCGGGAAATCATCTGTAGATCCACCATGGTCACTTTTTTTTTTAAAATATGGACGTGCGATACAACTTCTCGATGATTTTGTTTCTATCTTATCTTGAATAAAGAAAAGGTAAAACAACATATTAAAATATATTACGTAACACTATATATATATATACATTCAATATTATGTTTAAAATATATTATTTAAATAATCTCGTTCCATATATTCAAAAATTATTATAAACATTCTATTCTGTAGATTAGACATGCGTATAATTATATTAAACAAACAAATGCAAAAATGCAAAAATTAAATTAATAGGATAATATATATATATATATCTATATATATATATATATATATTGTTTCTATTGTAATATATATATATATATATAGCGTCTACTCTTGGTTTTAAGCTTATTTTGTAAATTCTCTAAAAAAGTTTAAGTTTGCGTGAAGTACTTATTTATTAATTGTTATTTAAAAATTATATTAGTTATATTTAAAAAGCGTTAGCACCCATTTTAAAAATAGTGAAAAAATATTGTCACGAAATATTATAAATGGTAGATAGGTTAAAATATCCCTCTTCATAAAAAAAAAATAACCTCACATATTTCATAAAAAAAAATAACCTCTCATAATTTCAGAAAATGTTATGCCATGGAATTCCTCTTTTTATAACTAGAACTGTATTTCGATCCAGAACAAAAAAAAAAATTCAGATGAATATATCTCCAAATGAAATTGAGTTGAGATACCATATTATTTATATGATTCGATATATATATTTAAAAGCAAAAATAGGTGATACCCCATATGCTTTTTTATTTAAAAACTGTTATTCGATCGTAATTTCCGGGATACTTGATCGGTAGATCAACTAAAACCATTACAATGTATTTTCTGTATATTTTTTTATTATACTTGTATATTTCATGACAGAAAATAATTGTTAAATCTAGTCGGACTAACGTGCTCTTCCTTGATCTAATACATATATATATATATATATATATATATATATATATATATATATATATAGTTCTATTAGTACGCGCCACGTTATATATAATTTCTATATATGTATTATTGCAATTGTATACCTTTTAAGAAAGAAAAGATTATGGAACGTGGTCCGTATTCCGAAGTGCGTGATAAATAAATGGATAGGAGCACGTGATTCCAACTGGATTTCACACAAATTGATGGTACGATTTAATTCCGGTTCAATAAATCGAATTTTAAAATTATTTTCTGTGATGTGGCAATACACATTTTCTGCTATGTCATGCACATTTAACGCCGTGTATATCCATCGTTGGTCAAAATTTATTGTGACTGTTTTTAACAAGTTTAGGTATTCCATTGACATATTTTTCAAGTTTAGTAATTTTTATGGAAGCATGCAAGTCTAGGAATTAATTTTCCAGTCATAGACAAGTTCAGTAATTTTTATGGGATTAACCCAATATTCAAATGCGGTTGTATTAATTTGACCGATAAATAAAAAAAATCCATAAACATTTGCCGATAAATGCATCAACATTTCGACAGCAACAATCCATTCACCTCCTCCGATAAAAAAAATGGCTACTCCCCAGCTTCTCACCCTCCTCCTCTTCATCGCCTCCACGACGGCTTCCCTCCTCCGCCATTCCACGGCGGAGAACACGCCGGAGAAACCGCACGCCTTCATCGTACCGGTGGCCAGAGAGAAGAGGCCGTACAACGGAGTCTTCTACTCGGCAGAGATCGTGATGGGAACCAAACCGACCGTCTCAGTCAACGTTGTGGTTGACCTCGGAGGAAGGTTCACTTGGTTCGTCTGTTCCAATGCACATTACAACTCCTACCGTACAGTCAGCTACATCTCTCCCAAATGCAAACTTTTCGAAGACCCTGGTAACTTCTCCACTTGATCAATCCATATCAAACCCTAGAAACGTGGAGAAAATCATGGGAAAAATGTTTTCTGCTGATAGTTATAGGATGATCAAACGGCTCGGTTATTTTGAAAAAGAACCAAGTTATAACCAAATTGAATTGAACCGGTTAAAATTAACTAATCGTTTGGCCATGCAATCACAAAATCCAAATTAATCGTAATTGAATAAACCGAACCTTCATCAACATGTACGTTGTATTGACGATTGATATGCGGTATATAATATATCTAAGCAGAAAAATCAATTAATATGTTTGAGATGTTAATGTAATTTTGTAACTATGGTATACAGACAGTCAAACTTTTTTTTTACATATTTATGGTTTATTTATTTATTTATTTACTATTGCCGTTATTTTTTTATTTATTATTATACGGCGAAACTGAATTTAGATTCGTTTATTATTTGTTTTACAATTTTTAATTAGATATAATCGAATTAATTAAAGATATAATTGTAGACTTATTTATAGAATTAAAATGTTTAAAAAAAAATATGCCCTTATAATTTTTTTTCATTTTTTTTTGTCGAATTTGTTGATTTTGCAGGAATGACGAGTAACTGCTACCCGAACGGCACCTGCTCCGAGCCATTATGCGGGGTGGACGTGAACCATCCCTATAGCGCGAGAAATTATCACGTCAGTGTCGTGTCACAGGACGTGATGAGCTTCATTTCAACCCCCGACGGCCTTAGACTCGGTCCCCGTCTCGACTCTCCTCAGCTGGTATTCGCCTGCGCCGATGACGAGGCCATCGAGGAGCCTTTCCCGGCATCGTCTCTCGGAGCGATCGGTCTGTCCAGGAACGTGTTCTCTCTTCCTAATCAGCTCACCTCCTCCTTCAAGCTTCCTCGAAAATTCGCTCTCTGCCTTCCTTCCAAGCCCAAAACGTCAGCCCGAGGTGACCTTTTCATCGGCGGCGGTCCATATTTCTATCCCCCGTACCAAGGAGACGCTTCCCGTTTGTTCGTGACCGCCCCTTTTGTTCACCAATCCCCACACCTCTACATTGCCTTGGGTTAGCCCTCAAATCTCGATTTCTTTTGTGTTTTTCGCGATGGCATTAATTGAGACTGAGGTTTTCGCCCCATTTTCTTGTTGGGTCTTCCTCCATGTGTATGAGTTGTTCCATGTGGGTGAGTTGTTCTACACCTTGCAAGAACATGGGTGGGGGAGGAAGATGAGTTGTTTGCACAATGGAGCAAATGATGATGTTTTTCATCTATGTTTATGAATTCTTTTAGAGCTTCTCTTCACTATAAATAGAGAGCTCTAGGTGCAGAGAAAAACCATCCCAAACACAAGAGTTCCAAGCAAGAGAAGAAGAAAGAAAGAGAGAGAGGGAGAAAGAGTGAAGAAAACAGTTTGTGCAGTTGTGATCAAAGGTTCGATCGGATACTCATTTCTTGTCCGATCGATCTGCATTTTGGAGAAGAGCTTCTAAACTCATTGTTCTAGATTTTGTCCAGTGGGATTTTGATTCTAACGGTCAGAATCTGAGAAACGGAGTTTCTACCGAAGCTGTTCGTCATTGGCGTTTCCAGCAGCCCATGTCCAAGTGATTTGGAGATTTGGATGGTCATCTCTTCTCCGTTTGAGCTGAAATTCGGTATGCTTATTCTAGACCCTCTGAGCTTTTGATTTCTACGGAGAAATTGGAATTTGGTTGCCGGAACCATAAGTTACGGGGTTAGCTTGCTGCCTAAGTTACAGCTTGTTCTTTCGGGTTTATTGAGATTGAATATTGGATTAATATTCGGAAGTGTCGGTTGTATCTCTTGTCTATTGGAGATTGAAGTGTGGACGTTGTAACCCGGAAATTTGAGATTATAGTGGATTTTTGGGTGGACTACGGTCCCGTGGTTTTTACTCCTCACACCGAGGAGGTTTTCCACGTTAAATCGATTGTCTCGTTTAAATTTCCGTTTTTACTAGATATTGTCATCCTAACGCGCTCACACAAGTAAGGGGTTCTAATTTACCGAATCGTGATTCACGGTAAAAACCCCAACATTTTTGTACACATAAGGTTGATTCTGCGACCTCCAACGACTATTTCATCGGCGTGAAATCAATCATGGTAGACGGGAAAACATTTCCTTTCAAGAAATCTCTTCTGTCGATAGGGAAAG